TAAGAAATTTGGCCCAGTCTTGGTAAAATTAACTAGCACTGTACAAATAGAGATGTATATGGGACTACACAAACATGTGGCATAAAATGAATTCCTCATTTTTAAGCTGTTACATGTGATATTTAGAATATGAAGGCATTTAAAGAACCTTGCTTTTCAGGGAACATCTTTTCTATGATGTTCTTCCTCACTTGCATAATAACAATACAAATGCTCTCAAATTATTTTTCACCTCTCCCCAGAACTCAACTTTCTCTTTTAAGGCAAAAGACACGGCAAGGCTAAATGTAAATGCAAAGTAGCCGTGACAGTTTGACGCCCTAGGGGGCTCAAGCTGGCTGCGCAAATAATAAGGAGTCTGATCAGAAACCTTAACAAAGAAGGGGGCAAATAAATATGTTTACAGAAGAATTGGTTGCTAAAAACACGAATAAACAGTAGACAATTAATGGCTATTTTTAAAGTAGAATGAATTAGACAATTAGAGGCCGTCTCCGATAGATTTTATTCTTGTTTGCCTACATTTGTAATGTATTATAATTATCACTTAAAGAAGGATGCACAACCTGTGTCACGTAAAAAAAAAACACAATTATGAACACAAAGACAACATAGAAACAAGTAAGCATTCAGTTAAATTTCTTTGATTTGTTTAGCCTTGTCTTACACGTTTGAAACGGATCGGTATATCAACAAATAAAATCTTCAACAAATTGTAATGACCATTATCCAAAAATAACTAAACGCTGTTAATTCCTCGATAAAACGAGAAAAAACAATCGCTCCTCAAAACACATATTAAGAAAATAGTATGTTTGTCTCCAGAGAGGGGGAGGGGGGTGAAGGGAGAGGAGATACAGAGATGGAGTGAGAGAGAGAGAGAGAGAGAGAGAGAGGGGGATAAGAGAGAGAGAGGAGAGCGGATATAGGTAACGGAGGAGAAGTAGAGGAAGAAGAAGAAGAAATGAAAGAGAAAGAGGAAGAGAGAGAGAGAGAGAGAGAGAGAGGGGGGAGGGGTAGTAAGTCACCCAGACATACACGAAATAAGGATGAAGGGATGAACAGAAAAAAGAAGGAAATCAAGTCAAAAATATGTTATTGAATTGCTTTATCGCACAGTGTATATTGATGATTAGATTCGTGAATAGCACCACAATAATCATGGAAAGCATTATATCATGATCGTTACAAGGACATTAGCGTTACACCGAGTTACGTCATGATACAATGGACAAATTATTATTGTCGTCAAGGGGCATCTGTTTATTCCTGCATGACCCATTTCATAATGACAACACTACGTACTAACATGGAAATTGTTATTTTATGCAAGGATAGCTGAGTGAAGCTAGAAATTTGGACATGATGCTATCTCGTGGATGTGTTCGCTCTATGTTATAACACTCTTCTGCTGAAACCATCTAATATAATTCATCATGGAATGAAGCACAAATCGGTTCTACTGGATTAAGAAGGAAACAAATCAGATGAGAGTCATGGTAGGGGGTTCTCATCGTCACGAACAGAAATGTATCTACATATGTGTAGCTAACAAGACTCTTAAGGAAGTATCTACCCATCTTCTGTGGCAACAAATAAAATCGGACATAATTTGAATTTACTACCGTTCCCTCTATTATTCCCATGTTCTGAATTGTTTTCGTTTTGTTTATTTTTTCTCTTCTCTTGTACCCTGTATTCTCTCAAAAGTTCTTCCTCTCATTTTAAAAATCTTTTTCTATTCCCTCCCCCCCCCCCCCTCTATCTCTCATTCTTTGTCTTTGATATGATTTCTACTCTTTTGGGCTATCTAAGTTTCTAACATTCTGTCATTTTCACTCACAGTCTTCTTCCCACTTTCTCCGATCTTGATTATAAGTCTTTCTGTCTATCACTTTATCTCTCCCTTTCTTTCTCTCTCTTTCACTTTCTCTTTCTCACCCCCTCTCTCTCTCGCTCGCTCTCTCTCTCTCTCTCTCTCTCTCTCTGTCTCCCTTCTTCTTCGAACCCCCCTTCTAGTGAAAAAGAGATAACTTAGCGTATAATTGGTGACATGAGCAACATTTAAAATAATGTGTATTAATCACAAAAGTTGTTTAAATACTGCACATACTTGGTGTTTAACTGATTGGATGTTCAAAATCGGTTAGAATTGTCATTTGAGTACATACCTTTTTTAACAATATTTATTTTAAAAATGTAATCCTGTCATTGGTTGATCAATGCTAATGATACAGCATAGGCTTAGGAAGATTTGTCGGTTGAGGGGGGGGGGGCTCGGCCGCAGGCATCAGCGAGGCGCGGGAGCGGTTATCTTTTCTTCTCTTCCCTTTATTAATTATGCAGGGGCTCATAGATGCTTTAGCCCCCCCCCCCTCCCACAAATATTGTTTTTTGTCGGGGGAGGCTCCGCCCAAAGCGGCCCCCCCCAGTTCCCTAATCATATGTACAGGATATACATCTTGCAGTCTTTCATTATTCAAAATTACTTTGTGTTGAGTGCATCCCCTTTTCTTGCTATTTGATTTCATGACCCGCTATTAAATGGGGCTTTTACATATCCACCCCGGGGGCCGTGCGGCGAGTAAAAACAGACATTTCGGGAATTTCCGGCCGGTGTCCAGCCGGCTCCCGTACAGCTCCTATGGGCGCCGGGACATTTTTTTTAAAGCCGCTCCCTATTTTCCGGGCCATAAGGGCCCGTGAGGCACCTTACGGGTCCTGTGCGGTCTCTGGATGGTGCCCGATTTTCCCGTTAATTCTCAATGTACAACGCAGATTTGAATAGAGAGGCGCGGATGTCAGAGGACACAGATCATTGCGCCGCACGACAGCACGCGGGGTACCGTACGGGCGCCTTGACGACCCCGACCGGGCCCTGGGAGCCATGGGTTACACCTGTTCATCGGAAGGAGCCCGTACGCTTACCGGTCGGCGCCCGACCGGCACCTTTACGGGCGTCTTGCATTTTCACTCGACCATTTTTCACCGGGCATCTCCCGGACGCCGCAGAATATGTGACCCCAAATGCCGTAGAAATGAAAAACGGAAGGGTCCCGTACCGTCTCTAAAATCCACGGAAGGCCACCTGGCAGGGAAAATCGTACGGGGCCCGGTGTATATGTGACCAAGGCATTAGCAACGAAAATATGACATCGGCATACTTCTCTTTATTTATGATTTTATCATGTCTCTTCCTGTATATACATAGCAGCGGAGGCCCTGTGCCACCGGTCACTTTTACCGCTACCGTACCCGCAAACAATGAACATCGATAACTTGGTTTTGATCTCTCTCTGCTTAATTGCCCATATACCTAATAATCGTCACTATTATCCTTGATGCATAATCAATTTCGAGTAATGATCATATATTTTAGACCTTGATAATATTCTGTTCATTTAGAATAAACACAGATCAGTTAAAGGAAACTGTAATTTTTCAATTCAATTCAATTCAATTCAAAAAGAGTATATTCGTCAAATGATTATAGCAGCCAAAGGCTGAATTGCACATTTGTTACATTTAAAGATATACAAAATAAATTATTGAAAATAGATACATACAACAAAATTGCAAAGCGCACGTTACAAACCAATAGTAAATGTTAAAAGTTTAAAAAGTGATGAGTGGCAGTGGGCATTCTCGTGGTGATGGGCACACATGTCCAGGAGGTGGGCCCCTTCCCCTTCAAAAAAAAAAAATCATCAAACGACCCCCTCCCCCCTGTAACTATAACTAGGTCCGATTGCTGAAAGCTACACAAAAAGGGGATTATGCAAAATTCACAAAACACCAACAAACAAAAAACACAAACTCAAGGACCCACTAACACACCCCCAATGACGAAGACACAAACCGGACACGCAGCACTCAAGCACATACAAATCAGATAACAATTAAGCGCACAAAACAATATAAAGCGAGGTGCAGAGCTGGGAGAGCCCGGTTAAAGCCAAGGTGACCGAGACCGGTCACGCTTCCCCAGTTCCGCTTTCCAGCACGGGAATTACTGAATAATGCACACAAGTCACAACACTCACTTACAAATATAAAAGGCATAACATATCAACTCATGAACAGGCAAAACAAAAGACAGACAAAAACACACCCCTCACAGCTTCCAGCAACCGGAAAAAGAGCTATGAATAAATTAAGATTAGATCCCACCAACACGGAAAGGGCGCATCACCCAGAGAATGCCCATGCATATACAACCAGCAAATACACAATTGTACATAGGAGAAGAAAATAATCAGAAAAAATAAACTATATATTTTTTAAAATGCGAACAAGGTAAGGAAGAGCACTATTTTGAAATCTTAGCGTTTTACAATTAAAAGTGTCATATTTGTTTGTCTGAGTTTCTCAAATCGTATCTATTTTCTCTTTTAACCGGTAACCAATCATTAAAAACAGGGTGTTTTTCTAAAGATATTACAAAATGTTCACAGAGTTGTTTTCTTTTTGCTTCAAGTGTGGTCAAGTTACACAATGAAAGAGCATTGACATATGTTATATAGTCACCTTCCAATATTATTCTAAGGACTCTCCTTTGAATTCGTTCTAAATTTAATATATTTGCTCTTGAGTAATATTTCCATTAAAAACAGGGACGCAATAATCAAGTACTGGTCTTATGTATCCCATGTATATAGTTAAAAGGTCATTGCGAGGAAAATTAAATGATTTCAATCTACGGAGCATATACAATTGTATTGTCAATAATTTCCTCTAAATACAAGAAGAATTATTGGCGAATATTCAAAGATAAAATGTTAGCAGAATATGAAATAAATAAATGCGATTAGATAGATAAACATAATAAGATTGCGATATACAAGTTTGCTTTTTAGAAATCAACACAATTAATTATCTCCCAGACCTTTTAAATAACGTCTCATCAACACACTTCATTCAGCATATTCAAATAATTTGTATCTCTTCGATAAATCTGCGAGCAGAAGTAGCTTAAATTGAGAAAAATGAAAGTCTCTTACGATTCGGCGTTATTCCAGAGTCGGTGAAAGTGGTGCAATTATCACAAAGCAAATATAATTCCGCTAGTGTTTTATTGGCGACCTACCCAACCTAAGTAAAAGTCAATGTGATGCATAGCTTGAATCAACCAAGATATAAAAGCCATTGCTTGGCATCGAGCTATGACGTAACATATTATCTGCCCAATCAGTCGAGCTGAAAGACCGGTTCCACTTCACTGATAACGATACCTACAACTACACCGGTTTCCCGAGGTTCTTGCAAATACATTGTACTTAAACTAAAGTCAGGGATCACCAAGTCGCAGTTCATTACAAACGACATAGGAACCGACAAGGGGGAGGGGGGTACCCTGCCACACCCATATTTCTTGAATGAAACTATGTTTATGGCATATCTTTCTATGCAGTATTTCCCAACTTATTCATAGTGAATGTGGAAGCAGAGGCTGCGCTCAGGGGGAGAGGGGGGGGGGGAGGGCGGAAGGGCGAGAACCCCATAAGCGCCTCTTTTTGCATAGGACAAGTACACTTTTTTTAGTTATAATAAGTGTCCCTTCTCCCAAGTTCCTCTTTTCACCTCTGATAAGTACACTATTCTAATCTGATATATGCCCCTTTTCCTTTGTAATAAATTCCCGATTCCCCTAAATTCTTATAAGTGGCCCATCAGGTGCGAGAAGTGCCACATTTTACTTCTGATAAGTGCTCCTTTTACTTTGACATGTGCCCCTTTTCCTTAAAACAAGTGCTCTTTTCTGTTCTCATAATGCCCCTATTGCTGAACTTAATCGAAAAGGTAATTAGTTGCTCTTCTATTTAAGAATATAAAGGTTAAGACAATGTAAGAGTTTCCAAACTCAAAACTGAGACATAGTTATCATACCTGCTATGACAAGATGTCGTTTTCACTTCCTCCCCCCCCCCCATCTCTCAAAAAGAACAACATAGATTTATCAAAGCCCTAACAACTATGTGCCCCTAATTAAACAAACTGAGATCAAATTTCCTTATATTTCCCCAAAAAACTGGCTCGGTTCGCTAGCTCATAATTCAAAGTTCATCTAATATTTGAAGGACTTATTCATTCTTTCATTATGAGATTATGCTTTACAACCCAATCAGGATCGGTTACTACATCTAATAATGAGAAATAATGGGTCGCAATGTGACCTCAAAGCTCAGTAAATTTTGGTTCACTCACTTCGCTCACTCGCAAACTAATATTCAGACCACAGGGCGTGCCAATTCGGACCGCCTGGGACAGAGTCTCCAGCAGCTTTATTTTAATGATAAAAAACGAATTTTGATAATTTCAAGGAATTTTAAAGGATATAAAGAAGAAAAACAATTAAAATCAAAAGCAATGTAAGAAATCCTGAATAGTGAAATGTTAACTATTTTATCATTTTATTTGTTGAGCTCTAGAAACAGTGGCGGTACCCCCTTTTTATGACGGCCTAAACAAATAAAGGAAAGGAAGACAACCAACATAAAAAGAGAGGAAATGAAAAAGGAAGAGATGGGGAAGGAAAGAGGAAATATATTATAAAATAAACATTGCTGCTCCGAGTAACGGGTTGTATTAAATAGGATGGAAACCAAATCCCAACGCAAGTTATGTGTATTGCCTGAATTGACATCACTGGCTGATCCGGGGGGGGGGGGGGGGGGTCAGCCGCGGCTCTCCTCTTTTGGTGACCTGAACAAATAAAAATGGGAAATAAGATGGAACGATCGAAGGAAAAATAAGAAGAGAAAGAGAGAATAATGTAAAAGAGAAGAAGAAAGAGCATGGAGGAAACGGAGAGTGTGTGAGAGAGAGAGAGAGAGAGAGAGAGAGAGAGAGTAAGATGAAAAATGAAGAACTTGAAACTTAAATTGATACTTACAGATTACATTTCCGATGAGTTGGCTCGACGTGTGCCTAAGAGGTCTTTGGACGACAATACAACAATATACGAAAACAAAAATTCCATACAATTGTCTTTAAGAGAGAAACAAAGGTTATTTCCAAAATGAAATGAAAAGGGCTCCGCTCCCGAGACTCCAGGCAAAGGATTTCCCCCTGCAGCCAATCCGTCAAAATATTAGTGGTTCACAAGACAACCTTTTGTTGTATAAAATTGGAGAGAGTGTGAGTTTTATGTAGTTAAAGCTTCCAACAACCATTCCCGTGGACCTTTTATTATTTACACAATTTCTTGCTGTCTGCTGCCTCGAGATCACTGGAGCGAAGAAAGGTAACACTGCATAGCAATAATCTCTTTTTAGTGAAAGACTAACCATTATAATGGGCAGCTTCCCATTGAATGTTGTGTCCTGTATAAAAGGGATTGGGTAACTTTGTCTCAGATTCTTTGAAAAATCCTGGATTCAGCTCATGCTGCGATCATAATAGGTCATGCATGAATCCCATGACTTTCACAAGCCTATCGCTTTTCTGGTTATCAAGATATATTTGATTGGAATTAGAAATTTCAGATTTTTGTTTTCATAACGGTTTTCATAATACTACAGTCTATTGGGGAAAATGAGTATGGTAAAATCTGTCACACAAAGATTTTTACTTTTTTGAGGCAATTCATGATCATTTTAAAGCGATTTTTTTTAGGGCTTCAATATTACACCATATCACAGACATTGATAACATGAAGGGCCAGGCATCCCAGATTTAAAAATGTTAAACGATGTATTTAAGGGCGTGTTGTGCTACTTGCTGCCTAAATCTGAGGGCCTTTTTGTGCTCATTTAAACGAGCACAAAATATATTGGGAGAATGTCCGCCTACTACAGATACGTTCTCAAATTGTCCTAATCGGTATAAAAGTTATGATTAAAGTGAAACACATGAAAATCATTAAACAAATTAAAGTATCTGCATAATAAGAACGTACATAGATAATTACGAAATATTTATTTGATGTGACTGGCGGTGTCTATGTTGATATCGTTAATGTAGCGCCTTGATCGTTTCAAATGGTGTCGAATCACCAACGAGCTTGTGGTGGCATTATTATGAATAAATACGTCGATAAATACTACCATTCACAAGGGAAAGGGTCAAAGAATAAAAGAGAATACAATTAGAATGGAGACACCTCGCTCTCTCTCCCCCCCCCCCCTCTCTCTCTTTCTCTCTCATTCTCTCTCTCTCTTTTTCTCTTTCTCTCAGCCCTCCCTCTCTTTCTTTCCCTCTTTTCCTCACTTATATTTCAAACACAATATCTGCTGAATCTGATTAAAAGACATGGGGAGGGAGTCGGTTTGATATTTCATCAAGCGATTCCCTTTTCTCATTTTGTTTATTTGTTTTATCACTGCTTTGGGAATTATACAGGTCTAGGTCACATTTCACAACGCGCCAGCAAGTGGAAAGTTTGGCCCCAGACCATTATCCAACCCATTTACACATGTTATTAGTAAAAAAAAAAAAGTAGTATAACTGTGTCGCAGTTTGTGTCATGTATATACTACATATATATATTTATATATGTATGGTGTTATTCAGCTTCATTTCTTAGAATTATATATTAATTCACCGATAATAACAAACCAAATTTACACAATTCTGTTCCCTTTTCCTTCAATAGCCACTTTATATCTGAAGGAAAAGGAATGTTCGAGTGCAATAATTTTTTTCTTTGTATTATATCATTTTTCTAAGCAATAACAAACTTCAACAATGTTATGAAAAGAATATGTCATTTTCTATTTTTTATATTCGTATATATATTGTCTTAATGACTCTTTAAAAAATACGTGTATGCAATTTATATTTGTTGATGTACATGCATTTTCTACAACTTCCTCTTTTACTTCTTTTCTTCATGTTTCTCCTCTCCGTTTTCCTGACTTCATGTTTAATGTTCTGTTTTCTTATTTTTGCTGCCCAAGCAATTTTATCATTTATTTAACTATATATATTTCAATATTGACAAATCAATTGTAACTGTATTTTATGTTTGAATATGCACTGAGTGTTTTTAATTGTACACATGACCAATTCAGCCATTGGGCTGCGACACGTTTTAATAAACTTTGAATTGAATTGAATATCATGTAATTATACCGATATTATATATTATATATAAATATATTAATGACATAACCTGCGATAACAGTACTCTTTTTTAAAAATGTTTATAATAACGACTGCGTAAGGGCACAAAGTCCTTGACACGAAAGGACGTTGTGCCCTTTTTGTCTGATTTTCTGCTTTTCCTAGTTTCAATTGAGATATTAATTCATTATGTTGTTTAGTATAGATATATTGACTGCTATGGGAGGCATCGTTGTTTCTATAGACTCAAGTGGACGCTTCATCCTGCTATGACCCCGCGAGAGCCAGACTGTATAGAAACAGTAATGCAGTCTATATATATTTTATTTACCGAATTCACACACAAAATCTACAAATAATTCTTAACCTTATCCTTTTCTTAAGTGAAGACTGGTTAAAACATCACAGAAAATTTGAGACACTGGCCGTAAATCTTCGCTGAAAAGTTGCCTGAATGTTCGGGAGTCGCACACACACACACACACACTGTACTGTATGTGGTATCCGCGTTATCCGGTCCCACTGCACTTACGGATGCAAAGAGGATGTAAAACGTAAACAAATCTTGCCATCCGTTGGAAAACGCTATGCATCCGTTGTGTACTCATTGCATACTGTTTCGCTCTATCCATCGAGCATCCGTCCACTGTGATTTCATCCGCGCAAAAAGTTTTCAGCTGCACAAAACTTTTAGAACGGATGAACTTCCGCCGTGTACTATGTAAATCCGCGACAAATACGAGCAACAAACGTTCTATGTCCGTTATGTCCTCTTACCCCCCCCCCCCCCCCCCCCCGGCGGCTGGCTGAGTCGTTGCGATTTTTTGGGGACTAAACAAAAATTGTTCTCTTTCCCACACGGTGCCCCCCCCCCCCCCCCCCCCCCGTGTGCCCCCTCGGCAAGAAATTCCTGGATCCGCGCCTGCATCTATGCAATAGAGACAGGGGGAAATTTGTGCAACCTGTTCACAAAATCAGACTTTGCCATCAGTTCTGATTATTCAAATTAGAAATTCTTCTACTTTGCTCGTGAAGAACCATTAGTCTCTTGACGACACACGCAGTCAG